ATGGCTATATATACCTACCTATACCTATAATTCTTATATAGATATTACTATGTTAYCTATGGCTATGGTAGCACAGATTACAACAGCGCTTCACTCGCCAGTCGTTTAATTATTAACCCTGTGCTATCTTGAAAAGTAACATTGAATTAACATAGAAGCGAGGAACCTTTGAACTTGCAATGAATGCTATCCATTTTCAAATAAACTTTTAAAACATGATGCTACTKACTTTGCGAAGAGTGAAGTCATCAAACCCGTGAAACAAAATTTGACTTTTTAAAAGTGTGAAGTTCAAATGGAAACAAAATGAACCATGCAATACTCCAGTTTCGAATTCAAAGCGAATAACCGCTGTTTTATTTGACAGCAGATTCTCTTACGCAAAGAACTTACCAAACACAAAAGAAAGCACGAGAAAATGTTGCTTGTACAATAGCGGTAACAATTTACATTTTCCCTGAGTTGAGGCTAACCCTGTATTCCCAGAAGGCTCATACCTTAGGTCTCATGGGAATACAGGGTTAGTCTCAACTCGGTGAAAATGCAAATTTTCAAGTCTATTGTAATAACGACATTTTCTCGTGCTCTCTTTTATGTTTGTAAGGTCTTTGCGCAAGAGAATCTGTTGTCAAATAAAGCAGCGGTTTTGCGCTATGAATTCGAAACTGGAGTATTAGAGCTTACCCAGGTGGAATGTCAATTTCACGGAATGTTCGACTTTCTCTATACATGGTAACATTTTAGACCTGCTTAAAACTAGAAATTGTTTTTTTTTTTTCACAGTTATGTACACGATTTTATTATACGAAACCTGAAAAACTCAATCAACACCACTCGACATTTTTTTGTTCGCTCGACATCGTCTGTCTTGAATACGTTAATCTCAGAGTAAGTGGCATCGTCTTTTCAGTTGAACGCTATCTTTTCGTAATTTTTACAATCTCCGGGGAAGTCTTGGTAATACCTTGCTATCCCGTCATTCTCCTCGATAATTTCACAAGTAAACCGCTGTATTTTTTGACCGCTGTTCCTAACATTAATCGCTGTACAGTTTTTGATTCGTAAGCACAAAAAAGTACATCCAAATATGGTAGAAACTTGAMTGGTTTCGATAATTTTCAATCCAGTGTAGCGACACCCACGGATGTTCGATGCGAAGAACGCAGCTGATGTGGAAAGGTCTATTGAGCATGCGCTAATATTACATATGCGCATTTCCCGTGTARGGAGGGCTGGGTCGCATCCTTGGGTAATGCAAATCTTTGTTCGGGTTTGTTTTCCTGGTCCACAAGACGYTGAGCATGGACTCCAATCAGACCATTTGACTGCGAATATATAAAAAAACACTCAACTTTAATTAAGGGAAAAAACACATCCTTTCGTTTACCATTTATTCAAAATCTTCAATTAGCAATCTTCATTCGCGTGATGTAGTTTCGTCGTCATCGCGCTTTCTAGAGAAGGCATATTTGTAATAAGAAGCCGATAAAAAGCTTGACGATGTTTTTTTCATTTGTCAAAWAAATCACTTGAGAATGCTTGACAGCTGCATGACAAAATACTMAAAATCACGGGTATTGAAACAGCACTGATAAATCTCGAGGATGTCAATACATATTGGAGGKTTTGGTTTGGCGTATATGCTTGGTCACTACAAATTTGTCGAAATTCAAATCCGCTTTGTTTAATTTTCAAAACTGCAAACAATATTTGTTCAAATTTGTTCAAATGTTTTAAAGCGCGTTAAGAATTTAAAAGTTTCAAATAACTTGGCTCCAAAATGAGTAAACCTGAAAAATACTTCAATAGTTTCTTTTAATATAAGACAATGATGTCAATAAAAAAGACTGACTGTATTTTACCTGAAGACGATTCACCTTCATAAGTCATAAGCAAAACAATAAACACGATTATCGAAGTTTTTTCCATTTTAGGCTGGACCGTTTTTACTTTTCTCTTCGTCTCAGGAACTCCGTGAATGAATGCGGAGATTGCGAGCTGAACATAATARCTAAACAACCCCAACTGGTTAGTGTGTAAGACACTGTAAACATGTGTAAAAACATGACTCCCGGCTTTACTTGCAGAGAATTAATCATAAATAGAATAATTTAAAGGTTAGTTGTGGACTTAACAAGATTTGAACGTTGTTTAGCTATTGGTGTCATTTTYAAGTCGATCCCGAAAACAAGTGYTATAGAACCAAAGCATTCCGGGTAATKTCATTAAATCGTAAATAAACAYTGTRCACYCTGAAAGGATTTTTTCGGAAGTTAAAMAATACCCAACCMATCGTAATGATTAAGCAATAAAGGATGAATTTCCATGCGTTAATCGATGAAATAAAGCGGTGAAGTTGGGAGAACACGAGAAAAAACCTCAAGACTTTAGTTCACCCGCGAAAAATCCACGACAATTCATCCTGTTGCTTTTATGATRTAGAAAGCATCTTGGACCCGTGACCAATCAGAGCGTTCGTACTATATCACATCTATATTATAAATGTGTATATGTGTAGTGTACGTCTGCTGTGTTTGATCAGTTTCAGAACAAAGGATCAACAAAATACGGAGAAAAAATGCCGATGTCAAAGTATTAAAGAGAAATCTCAAAATTTCTACTATTTGAAGCAAAGAATTGAACACAATAAAAGAATTATATTCATCATTAAGTGCCCACGACAAAATGCAAAAGCAGCAATCGCAGGCTAGTAACGAGGAATATTTTTTTGCTGTTGATGCAGCAATCCCGCCAAAACTCCGTGCCTTTTGATCCCTGATCCCCTTACAGAATCGTTGAAAAAATCATTGATTCCGATCCCAATTGAAAAACCTTTGGTCCCAAGTTAAATCCAYTTGATCCGGATCCTGAGCCTAAATCCTGATCCCTGATCCCAAAATTGGTCCCAAAAACTGACGCTGATCCCTATACCTCGTTATTAGCCTGGTAATCGCGAGTTCTTCATTTGACCCTACAGCGATCGGTTAGTACTTTCATGTATTACACATATGAGTGTAACAGTTATAGAATTATTATGAAAACACTAATTAAACTAAATTAAATGCGGGAGAGACGACAGTAAAAAAAATAGTACATTAAAAAAGCCTATGACTTCAATATGACTTATTGATCTACTGATCAAAAAAAAATTATAAGAAATGATAACATTACTGCATAATCAAAAAGAATAGTTCTTACCTATTTCCCTCCTTCCAAGCGTTGTTTTCATGATCAGGACGGAAAGAATCATAAATCGAATGAAGTGAAACGCGAAACGTTTTCCATACATTCTCATAGCGACTGGTCACTTTAAGAGAATAATGTAACTGTCAAAAGTTTGAAAAATCTGTTCTAAAAAGCTCTATTCTTATGAGTTTGTTTTATAGTGATTGACTGTCATTTTGCCTCTTGTTAACTGTCTGTGGTATTTACCTAAGACAGTTAGACTATTCAAGAGTTTTTTCTATTTATTTAGTAAAATCGTTATTGTTTATACACATTATTCCAAAATGGCTGACTAGCCCTTGATGTCTCGTTTTCATAAAATTATTCTTTTGTCTTTGAGCTTGAGTGACTTTAAAAGAAAAGAACAATTTCATGAAAACGAGACATCAAGGGCTAGTCAGCCATTTTGGAATAAGGTGTATATGTGTCTGGTGAGTTTTGTCACCATTGTGAACCCAACTAGTGAATAATGGCATTTAAAATCGATTACAGCTTACAAGGCTAACACTATTATCACTAAAAACTAATACATATGAAATGACAAGAATATAGATTGAACCATGATTGAACACAGAAACGGCTGAAAGAATGAATGGACTTATAGCAGTGCAAACCAAATTCTAGGTCAAGGTCTAGTACGTTTGCCTTGTATTTTGATGAAGATCGTGTTTCTCATGTGTTTTATTACAGTAAACTCKTATATTGTTAACTCGAGTCCATTAACCTCGATCTTTTTCTTGCATAGCATATATGATTGCAATAATCATCAGGGAGTAGGGTTGAGAATCCATGGGGCGGGATAGGGAAATAGTCTAAACTTACGACTTGTGGGGAGTGGGGTGTAATCTAATATTTTTTTAGTTATGGAAATGCCGAATTAGACGGCACAACTTTTGCCAGTTTCAACCATCGCACGCAACCTACTTATTAAGTCACCCTTACAACATGGCTGCAACTGTCGTAGGGATTTAAAACAATTGCTTAATAGCCCCACGACAGTTGTAACCATGTTGTAAGGATGATGTTAACTTGTTTGCTTTGCTCACTTTTTTCAATCCCGCCTGATAATATTATTGCGCAGTTCCTAACTGCAATTTTGTCGGTGCATTCCCTTACAAATTGTCACACGCTATTAAGAATATAGAAGGCATCAACATACAGTATGGGTTTCCTGTGTTATTCTGGGTGCATTCTGGGTACACCTTCCTGTTTGCTATACTGTGGTTTTCTCCGAAGGTCTCAATACCTCGCTCGAGGAATCACTATTTCTCCGAGGCTAGCACCAACAAAGGTAGGTTTTTTCTGATTTATTGATAAGAAGGACTCTTATCTAGTCTTTTTTTCATCTTTATCATAAAGTATCAAATTGAAACATCATCTAATTGCTGTCGCAGCGATTGAGTACTCAAAGAATTTTCGAACCTCTTTTCGATGTTGCTATAAGTGGTATTGTATTTGAAATTTACGTGTATCGAATAGAGAGCCTCGAATAAACTCTTAGCAGAAATAAAAATCGGTAAGTTATGAGTATTTTTACGGTGAAAACTAGCGATATATGTGTCGAAATTACAGTAAATCAGAAGTGCATAACATGTACTTCTAAGTAAATCCAGTAAATTTAATTCGAAAATTTAGTTATCAGTCGAGCAAGGAAACAAAATTAAAATCAGGTCAACAACACTCAGCTCGTTCTTTATCAAGTTTTGCTCGTTTTCTGGAAAAATAAAAACTATCCTTCAAGCATTATAGAAAGAAGACAGGTAGCTCAGAAGAAAAGAAGATTTTGGTGTATTGGTGCGCGGACTGGCTTTTGACGAGGCAGTGGCACAAAGCTTCATACACAAATTTCGTTTTCTAAACGTGTACTAAGAATACCACAAAATTTTACCAAACTCGATAAGGAAATTTGAATTTTCCATTATATAGTCGTTTTACCTGTAGGAAGAAATGCACAAAAAATGTGTTGTTTTTTTTGACATTGGTACCCAGACACGTTTTACCTTCCGACCAAATTTCAAAGGCTCTGTGGACACCCTGTGATATTGAAGCCAAAATTCAAATAAAAAAYGGACAACCTGGTAATCGCGGTCAAAAATTCAAATATATTTGTAATACAAAGTATCGCTACCTTATTCACGACTTTCAATGGCGCGATATGTCACGTTCGCCGACCAGAGCACTGGGGACGAAGCACGAAAGCAAGGTCTCAGAGGCAAGCCTCCGTACAGTGCTCTTCGCTGGAGTATTGCAAGAGTRTTTAGTTATATAATTATAGATAACATATCAAACAAGATCCACTTGGTGGAACATACCGTGTCCAGGCTACGCTAATATATACTTTTGCCAGCGTCGCGATCGATTTGATAGATTTTGCGTGTGATCTTTTCACATCATTTTTTGAATATTTTTATCATTGCAGCGAAAATTTAGCAATCGCATTGCATTCACATTATCCTCAGAGAATTTATAAGATTAAAGTTTGCAAAGAAAGAAAGAAAAAAATGTTAGAAGCTGCTCGACTCGAGAACATTCCCCCTGGGGATGACAAGCGTGATGTTGAGGTTCTGAACGGTAAACTATTGTCAAACGTTTTTTCCAAGATTGTAGACTAAGACAGAAGGAGATGGAAAATTATTTCCATATATTTAATACCATTCTTATGGTTTCAGTTGACAAAAAAATGAACAGCCTGTATGTACCGAAAGATTGGTGTCCCAATGAAAGGATCAATAAAGTAATTTTTGAAGGTCTTGGCACGTTATTCAAACGAGAATGGGATGGCCTGTATGGAAATAACCAGAGGGAAGACTCCCAAGGTCTTGATACGATATTCAAACAACAATGGGATGACCTGTATGGGAATGACCAGAGGGAAGAAGCCCACCTTTCTTTTCTTCGTGTAATTGAGTTGTCACGTTTAGGTATACCACCGATAGAATCATACCAATTACCTGATATGAAAGAGCATATTCGTGAAAGCGTTGAAGTACTAATTGATATTCACCACAGAAGTTCCTTAAACTTTGAAGGACTATCCCTTGCTGAATTCCACGACATCACAGAGACATGTTTACGAATGTTTAAAGATCTTAAAATCGACACAACTGAGTTACAAAACGTTATTTTCCATTTACCAATATTTACTGACAAGAATTCGACGATGCAGTGGATGAATGATAATACGGAAGAATATCTTAAGAAAATTAAAGTTAAGCAAAGCCTATGTTTGGAGCTACCTGTTGTCTCGGCCAACACAATACATCGATCGAAAGAACTTKYTATGRTTTCGAAKGAAATTGGATTGCTATCAAGTAAAAAGRAAGCAKAWACATCGATTGTAATTCTTCTTGGAAATCCATGTTGTGGGAAAACTACTCTAGCATTACAGTTTTCCCTTGACTTTGTTAGTTCTGAAATGCAAAGTAGACGACCAAGTTGTGTTGTCTGGATTAATGCTTTGACCATGGAAACACTGCTGGACTCCCTTTTTGGATGTGGAAGAAGACTCGGAATTCAAAAATTAATTCTATCAACCATTTCCCAATCAGAACATTTATCTCATGATGATAAAGTGGCACTATTAATGAGTCTAACCTTTGATGTACTTGASATGTATGACTCGTGGTTGATTGTTTTTGACAATGTCCAAGACATACAGTCGTTTCTTACTTKTCTACCAACAGAAGGTGACAACGTTCGTGGTCATGGCTCTATATTAATTACCACAACCGATGCAAATCAGCCATCGCTTTCCAACACTCGCACTATTGATATTGGGGGAATGTCAGTAGACGATGCTATGAAGCTGCTATCCCGGGCAGGGGATCTGAGTGGTGAAAGTTACCATTCTGCATTATCTTTAGCCAGGATGTTAGAATTTCAGCCTTTAGCACTGGCATGTGCAGCTCATTATGTTAACTCTACTCGGGAAAAAGATGACCATCGAGATAAATGGCAAGAGTTCGTAAAGGAATTTAGTGATCTAGAAGGAGAATCGAAGCCCGCACTGCATAACGCCATTGAAGTGGCCATACGTCATGTAATCACAAAATCAGAGATGGTGCTTGCTTTTCAATACATCATAGCGACACCCCAAAACGATGCAATCCAAAAGAAAGATTTGGTCCAGTTTGTCAAAAGACGCATGCCTGAATTCGATGAGAATGCATTGATTTCTTCCCTTTTGTCATCTCCTTTTGTTTCTACGAACGATGACAATTCGCAATTCTCCTTCCATCCCACTGTTCGTGCAGTTTTAGAAGAGGTGGTTCCTACTGATACCAACGGTAAGTTGCTGTGTACTGTGCTCTTTGTTCAGATAAATCGAAAATGGATTAATCCGTAACAATCAATTTGAGTCTCTGTTACCAGAGTTATTAGCATAAAAAATGATAAAGTTTGTGTCATATAATTCTTACGAGCTATTCTTGACTTACCTTTTCTACATCTACCTTTCAAGTACCTCATGAAATTCTTGCTCGTGGACCCAGAGCTGTGGAAGCCTACAGYAAAGCYTTGAAAGGKGGTAAAGTATTCGTTTACCGGGGACGTGTAATGATCATTGGCCAGGAYAGAGCTGGTAAAACCTGTCTTCGCAACTCCCTTTGTGGTTTACCATTCGAGCCAGAAGAACCGAGTACAGTCGGAGTAGATGCAGCCCTTTACGGTTTAGACGTAGATCATGTGAATGCTAGCGATTTTCAACGCAAAGACATGGAGTTACTCAGTCGCGATATGTTACCATTTCTCATTGCTAAAGATCTCAAGTCATCGGAGAAACCAGACGTAGAGCTTGAAGAGCAACCAGTGTCTTTAATTGTTAGCTGACTTTAATTTTAAAGTGCGGGTACGATGAGATCCGAGGATAGGCGATTTTTTTTAGTTTTTGCTAGTTTATACTATTAATAATACCATAAATAAGGTACTTTACATTTTAGATGAAGAGAACATGTTGAAATTTGCCATTATTGTCGTCGATTTTCGATCCGCCATTAACCGGCAGCCATTTTGGAAGATAAAGGCCGTTAGGGGCTGGTATCGAACTTTGACGCCATATGCTTAAACACAAGTGAATTTGTCAACATGAACTACTGTGTGAATCCAATGTGAATCGAATGTTGTTTTCGAAATATTGCAATGTTCTTGGCACAAACTGTTATCTTGCGTTATTAGCTGTATTGAACATTTATCACTGACTCCATACGTATATTCTATCTGATGTTACAGCTCAGTTTTCTGTTTGTGAATGAGACGTGGCTGTCTGACAAGTTTTGTTGTCAAAAGCACAACAAGCAAACAAGGGTGAAGGTTTGATTGCTAAATAATTATTTTTGAGATATTAAGATATTTTGCAATTGAATTTCGTTATCTTGGTCGTGCTACTGAATAGTTGGAAGAGGGAACTAATCGTYTAGAAGGATATAATCTTCAATTAGAGTTCAGTAATTTTATCGACATCAACTTGTATCGCTATCTAGTATCCGACGCAATGTAGCGGCCGGTTTGCAATAAATAACACCTTATTCACCTATAACACCTAATTCACCTTGAGATCGGTGAATTAGTGAATTATCACAGTACTCATATTGACTCCCTGATCAGGCAAGTATAAGCTGCCAATTTTCTTTCGCGTCTCAGCCCCAAAAGGACAAAAAGTATGTCGTTTTACGGGAGAGCACTTTTAAAGACTTTAAATAATTGTTCTTTTTCATTTATATATCAAAACAACAAATTACGACTTCATGATAGTGTATTCAATATTAACATCACGCGCGGTGATAATAATTTTGTACTCAGTTTAATCAACAGTTTAAATTCAAATTCAAAGCCGAACTTATCTGTAGCATGACTGGAGTCTTAACTTATGAAGACTCCAAAGAAAATAGAAACTTACTTTTATGATAAATTTTAGGATGTCTACAAATCTGGGAATTGAACTGCCCGTGTGCCCCATCTCAATGATATGTCTTCAAAGAGCGGATGGATAGTGTGTTKGTTATAGGCCGAAATATATCACTATAATTTTTTCAACGATTGCATTTGAACTCGGAAGGTCTCAGAGACAGAACAAAACGTTTGATTCGATGCTCCTGACTTTGTTTCTTCATTATTTTATACCCTTCAAACCTTCATTTCCCCTAAGTTTTGTCTGAAGGACAACCTCGTCCCTGGGTTAAGCATATGACGTCATATGCTTCACGTTTGGGTAAAACCGCCAACCGATGTCACTTCGGCTCAGATTAATGGCGGATAGGAAAAAACCGACTTTCAAAGCTCGATTTCTCCTGCTTTTCAATGATGTATCGATAAAAAAATTCTCAGAAATACTTATTTGGATCTTCATAAAGAGGTATATGTACAAAAACAGCTCAAATTCGATGTTCGGTTTTCATCGTACCCGCACTTTAAATATTATTATCTTATTTCCTTATTACTATGAATTGATTGTCACAAAGTTCTATTTAGTGATCTTTAGTGTACTCCAATATTTCACTGCTTTACTTTCAGTGTTTCCAGTTATACGCTGTTAATTTGTACCGTGTTATATCAGCGAGTGCGCACGTACTAAACCTGTTAAAAAACTATCTTTCGATTGCAACTTTTATCCTTCCTAATCATTACCGACTCTGGCTTGACATCTGCCTAATTATTATGAAATCCGGCGAGGCTCATGACAAATTCAGGGATTACTCCTGATGCAGCTCTCACAGGACTGTTAGACAAGGATTTTCAGTCGTCAGGTTAAAGTAGTGAAGGGAACGGGAAATATAAAATTGTTTCAAGAATCATGTCTAGAGAACTGCTTTGTGTGCCAAAGTCGGTGTGCACTTCCTTGATTAGCACGCTCTTGCTGTGGTTGTGTAGGTGTTTCTCAGGCAGAAACAAGTGCAAGGAACGACTTTAAATACAACGGAGTAGAAGTTAAGATGAGRATGAGGATTATAAGTAAACGAAACTAGTTTTTGACAGATAAATGTCTCAAAAGTGGGTGAAAGATAAGCAAAGATCAGTCTGACAACAACGCAAAATGAGGAGCCAATGGTAAACTCGAACAGATTTTATTCTCTAGACATAAATATCATTCAGTTTACTCACTKTAACACTGAGTTATAGTCAACTGACATTCCATATTTATTTACACAGGGAGGTATTGAGAACGATTCCAGTAATGCAGTAACGGTTAATACTGATGAAGTTGGTGATCCCGACGAGCATGTAGAGCAATCGCGTCAACGTGCATATGAAGCAAGTGATAGAGAAGAAACCCCCAAWGAACGAGTGGAGGAGTCAACATCCCCTCTCGCTGGCGAGGCTGCTGAAGTTCCAGATGATGTAGTTCAGTCGATTATCGAGTGTCTTCGAAATGAACGGATTGAAGAAGCGATCTCAGACGAAGAAATCACAATAAGTATTTGGGATTTTGCTGGACAACACTTGTACTACGCATCMCATCAAGTGTTTTTGTCCCCAAGAGCAACTTATATTCTTGTATACAATCTTGCTAAAGATTTGGATGCCGAAGCTGAGCCATGTGTTCGTCAAGGCACAGTGGATCATTTGCTAGACAATCCAAATAACGAAACCAATTTGGACGCCATGTTATCATGGCTCAATTCTGTGCATACCGTCTGCCAAACTGAAGACATTGATGAACAAGAAACACCCCAGGTGATCATTGTTGGTACACATGCTGATAAACCATATGAAGATGTCAAACAGATGGAAAAGAAACTCAAGATTGGGGTTTTGGGTAAAAGCTATCAGAAACACGTAACAAAGCCTTTTTTTACTGTCAACAATGTGAAGTCWTCAAATGATGATGGCATTAAGAAGCTCCAGCAGAAGATCAGGGAAATATTAGACAGGGATCCCAACATAGGAAAAGAAGAGCCTTTACGCTGGCTTGTGTTTGAAAAGGTAAAACGTTWATGCCAATGAAATGGAATTAGTCGTCAACGTTGGAAACGAAGTCACTTAAACTGATATATAAACCAAATAGGTCGTATCGTATATGTAGTAAAACAGATTGAGGTAGTTGAGTTAGCTAYRGCTATTGCCACAGGAATTTGTTGTTGTTKTTATTCTTCTATGTAAGAACCCCGACTTTTTCTTGTGAAAAACTTTAAATCTCGGCYCCCTTTGACAWTTAAGTGCATACCTCTTCACTACGTTTATGCATGCATGTATACCTTTTTAAATGTTACCCCTCCATTCAAAAGTAGTATGTTACTATATTTAGTAACCTCCTTATTATTTTTTCAAAACGACTACAATATGTTTTGATTAACAGRCAGCTAAGTCCCTCGTGAGCAAGAACACCTACTTCCTTACTATTGAAGAAACGAGCAACATTGCCAAGGAGGTGTGTCTTATTGATGATCCAAATGAATTGAACACAATGCTGGACTTTTATCATGATCTTGGTATCATGATCAGAYATGGCAGCATGGTCGTCCTTGATGCCCATTGGCTGATTRAAGTTTTCAAGACGCTTATCACAATCAGRGACTTCGATRATATGGTAGGAAAACTCATGTGCTTCCTTCCCTCCAATAATATCCATATGCAGGGTTTGGTAGTCTCTAGAAAATCCACTCAGTATTGGTCCCCCTTAATTAACTCTCTGTTTMTTGCATGATATGTAGGATCCTCTGTATAYGGATCACTGGCKGGAGATGGAGGAAAGTGGAAAGCTGAGCATGCAGCTMACAGATTATATACTTGAAAAAGAGCTTAAATGCAGTCAGGTCAAAGACGACCTCCTCAAAATGATGGAAGACTTCGGCCTGATAGCCTCTTTCAATCAGGAAGGAATGGRRKCATGTTACTATGTTCCTTCCCATTTAAGGTCKTCKCCGAGTGATGTTYTCGAGCAAACGTCATCTTGCGCATGTCCATTGTACATCTACTTTCCTGGTGGMTTTATACCACATGGCATACACACCAGGCTARTTTGTGCATTAATTTCTTGGGMTAAAGTCGAAGATGAGCCAACTTTGTATCGTGATGCATCAGAGCATTTCCTCGACATGTCTTCCAAAACGGTCCTCACMGTTTTGTGTTTCAGAAGTTCCATCAAGCTTTTACTRCAATCCCAATCTACGGACAGGTCCTACATACACAACATAGCACAGGAAGTCAGGAAGTTTGTGGAAGATACTTTGACGGAGCTGAAGCAGTGTACTTGGTACAGATGCCTGTCATACAAGATCTGTATTWGTTGCCCATCATGCGCRAWGAAATCCTGCTTCCGRCATGGCCGTACCTTCTGCAGTGAGGAGAAGTGCTTGCACTTATTGCCCTTAACAAACGAWCGGCCATTTATCTGCAAGAAAAGTTGTGGAGATGAAGCTCGGTGGCCTGAAATCTCTGGATGTGATATTTGGTGTCCTGAGTTCGTTTATGATGTATGTAATTCCTCAAATATAATTTCCATTAGTAATACTTACTAATGACGTTTATTGTTTCATCTTATATCTTTTAAGAGTGATACAGGTTTACCAAGCTGTGTACCACCTACAGGTATATCAATGTTGCATTTTTTTGGACATTTTCCTTTCAATTTTTCTCAGATATTATTATTTATTAAAAATCTCCAAAAGAGCGTTTGCGGAGAACTACCATCTGAAGGATTCCGTGCTATTTGTGATACCATGATACCTCAAGTGTCCTCTAGTGTGAGACATTTTGATCACATTGACATTTTTAACCATGAAGGCATTCCGAGAAGGAATTCATGTGAACACAAGAGGAGTAAAAGTTGTTGAAGACTTTTGCCATACATTACACTTACAGACTCTCATAATTAATTACACCATTTATTGTTAGTTTTATTTGACTTTTTATTGTTTTTTTTTTTGTCTTTCTTTCTTTGATCGGAACTGTGTTTCAGGTTCATTGGACCTCACCGATAATGTTAAGAGATGGGTCGTTGTTGGTATCTCACTAAACACAGTGCTKATTCCCCCTGTCCGTGAATACCTTGTGCCACTCATGGAAAATCACTACGAGAAACTCAAGACCGACCACAAMATAGATACCCAAAGCTACCCCAGTCAGTTGAAGAAAGACGGGTCATCCGATTTGAACTATAGAAGTATCAACAATAACGACATTGTCAAAGGAACTGCAAACTACAACTACAAAGTAGCAAATTACGTTGATCTGGGGAGACTCTACTTACAGCCATATATGGCGAAATTTACAGGTCATCTACTGATTGCATTGTTACACCTTTTACTATTTTTGCTTCATTTCTTGATAAAAAAAATATTTTTTTGGAGTTTTTCACGAAATCACAGCGTTTCTAAGCACTCTTCAAGGGTAGGTTATTCACTTCTCTGAGAACGAATTCTCTGATTGGCTGTGTCGTTTTTAAAAGAACAATCAGTGACACTTTTTTGTCTTTTGTTTCTTTCTTTTGTTTTGGGCAAGCCTATTGAATTACATCTTCCGAGAGGTGAAAGCCCAGCCCCATTCTAACTTCGGACTACTTCTTTCTACTCTTACTTAATTGTCTGGTACTGCGACTATCATTGAGACACCCATACCTTTCTCACAGGGAGGCCCTGGGCATCCTATATTTTTCACTCCCATCTTCCTTCATAAACTAAAGGTCCTATATGCATATGGTTTATTATATTTTTGTATTAATATTATCAGATTACAACGAGACTTGTGATGCATCAGCTGTACTCAAGATTCTAGTATCTGCAAGTGTGTTTGCTTCGGTCAAAATTCCAGCAGAGAAAGTGAAAGATGACATCCGAAATAAATGGGGACATTGCAATATCGACGAATGGGATGAATCGRTGTTTAATAGCTGTTTCGTGACTATGGAGGAATTGGTGCATAGTTTGAGTTTGCCTCTGGATGACAAGCAAAGGATTTCTGACGAACTTAGCGAATGGAAAAATCAAGGTTCGTTTCTTTTATAGAATATCACGTGCACACAATAAACCCTTTTAGCGATCTCTTTTACGCTGTGATAGCCTCAAAAGCATGTAATAAATTCTTTTATTCACGACAGCTCGTTATCTGTGAGTAAAGAAGACAATGAAAATAGTTTGAAAGTTCACGAATTTTCTTAGCATTTCTGAATATTTTAGCACACAATTGAGGCTAACACAGCGTAAAAGAGATCGCGAAACGCAATTATTCTCCCTTTTTTCACCAAGAAAAGATCCCAGTCTCATGATGTAAACTCTCCCGGTTTTGTCTTTCAAACTCTCCAGGTGTTCAACTTCTTATGGGAGGAAATTCAAAATCCGAAATGAAGTCTCTTTTGGAAGGAGTTGGAGATCTCTCTAAGAATTTAGCAGCCCTTATTGAAAATGAAGAAAAGCGAAATCGTGCTGACCAACTGTTAAGTGATGTGAAAACAGCAATTGACAAATCTCTGAAGAACGAACGAAGAATTGAATCTCTGGAGAAAAGAGTTTCTGAACTAGAAATACAGTCACCAAAATGAAAAAAAAACAATAACAACTAGAAGTATTAAGTAAACTGACAAGGTAAAATGCATTTAACGACCTCAGTGTCGAGAGATGGCTGAGCGATGGAAATGGCATATTTCAGCGCTCTGAGCTCTTGTCAAGAAAAAAAGTAAATACTGAAATACTGCAAAAGCAATAGGCGATTTGCGCAATGGCGTACGCTTCTCATTCTACCAGTTCCAGATTGTTGTGTCAGCTTTCGTTTGTAATGTAGTTAGTCCCAGTTGTTTTACTAAGCTGCAAAGGGATTAAAGTCTGAATAACAATAAAAATAAGCAAAGCATTCTGGTAGTGGCGTAAAATGACGGACGCCATAATGCATTTCGCATCAGTCATTTGTATTCTTCATAGTAATGGTGGAAAGAGGATAGAAGATTCTAAAAAACACTCAATCTACAAAGACGATTTCTGCATAAAATGTCTTCTTTATATATATATAATAGGCTTTTGCATGAAACCGTCACACTGGTACAAAATCCACTGGGATTTCAAAACAAAGAAAAGTCAAACTTGACGGGGGAAGTTCCTTTTGGTTTTGAGGTTGTTTACATTCTTTTGACATCCACTATGGCGGATTTTGTACCATGTGACCGTTCTATACTGAACCAGAAACACAGTATCCATTTATTGTTTGTTTATCACTCATGCAAATTCAGGGATGGCCCATCGGCTATACATCAAAATTTTATTTGTACCCAATCCGAATGTAACAAATCGCAATGATGTTCTTTATTCTTCTATGTTCGGGAGGTTAACYAAYGKCTTTCGCCACACTTCTCAGAGACCGAATCTCGACAGTTCAATCTCGACAGTTCAAACCAGCCCCAAAAATCCCTCTCTCTCAAGCACGACCATGCCTTTTATCCCGAAACCTAGCCTCTCCCACGGGACAATCACACACAAAAACATTCACGAGAATACAACACAAACACATATCAAATCGCCCAGTCTACACGAATAAAAAGGATATCCTGTTCAGGCGTGGCCAAGACAAGTGCATTGGAAGTAGGTGTGTACAACTTTACATATATCATTGATCTTGTTTCATCAACCATTAAGTTTTTTTATTACCAAGATTTCTGGCCTTAGGCCCATCATCAGGGTTAATGGAGTCAACACTACAAACGTTACAATTCCACGCACGATATGGCGTAAACAAACATGACTTGACATATGTCAAATTTTCCAGGTGAAATATTTCCAATTCAAATGGACCATGACATATATAGAGAGCGATTTCAAATAAAGCATGGTAATGAATACAAAATGTACGCAAACCATGGTTTCATTGCAGACTTTGTATAGGTTGACAAGCCAGTTTGATTCACTTGTACTAACATTTGTAAGACTGCGAAGACAAATGTGGGATTGCTATAGAAATTGAGTAAATCTAACAAAAATTGCTGTGCTAAGTAAACAAAAAAGGAAAGCCATGCATTAATTAATTCACTTAAAATTACAAAGAACTAAGTAGGTAGGCCATGTGTWACAAAGGGGAACAAACCGTTTTGAAATTATACAAGTGTATTTTGCTCATTTGAATTTTACTCATCATTTATAATCGCGAGTGTGGAATCGCTCTATTGTAATGACTATAGTCAGTGAATAGTGAATAAAGATACTTTTACTCTCGACTTGTCAAAAACTTTCCGTAATACGAGGTTTTGCAATCTATCGTGTGGGCATGAAATTACACATCTGTGGTCATTCACTTCCTTCGAAGAGTTGTGCGCTATGATTGGTCAAACAACATATGCATGAGATTTCATTGGTTAGGTTTTCAGTCTATTGTGCTGGTACGACTGGTTCAATAGTCTCCTTCAAGGTTCCCTACGTCATATTGAAAGGTAGCCGTGTCTTTACATCGAAGCGAGACAACGGTTGCCTAGCCTTCGATGCAAAGGCACGGCTGTCTTCCAAGATGGMAAAGGGAACCGTGAAGAAGACTATTGCACGCAACCAAATGTTCTTAAAGGTGAATTATGACCTCACTGTTTAASACCCCGTCCCGTCGCCAGACATTTGCGAATAAAAATTGCCTGCATCCACTTGAATACCCCTCGAGGCGTTTTCATTTCCAGACTCAGTCATATTGATAATAACAATTATATTCTTTATTAATAAGAAAAAAAATATCCTATTTTACAATATAGGTGTTGTCGCATCCCGTATTTGTGAACAATACATTTTATTGTTGGTTGCAAGTATTTCCAAAAATGGTTGGGCGCTGCCTAACAATAGCAATGCCATTGTGTTGCTTCGTCACTGAATTGATTTATAATTCTAGGTATCAACTCTTCGTTTGTATTCAATCGAGACAGTTCTGATCTTTTCGAGAAGGAGAAAAGAAGGCTAAATAAGTTGGTTCTTTTCAAACCGTACCTTTTGTCCTTTTATATTTTATACTTAGAGAGGAACAAGATTTGTGATTGAACATATGACAAATGAGCAATTATAGTTTATTTAACATTAGAGCTCTGTGGTTGATCTACAGAACTTCCAGCGTATCTTCCCTTATTATCAATCCCTTCTGTCACTGTATCACCCTGTTTACAGTTAGCAGACTGTGCCGTCATAGTCAGAGTCTCAGGTCCAACAACAGCTCCTTTGAGWACAAGAAGAACTCTAGGAAACAGTAGCCCTCCAACTGTGAATGTAGCAACRAAAACCAACGCGTAAGCTGCAAACATGCTTTTCCAGATAGAATCTTTAGCATTCAGGTAACAAGGYAGGAAAATCACCCATACAGAGCAAGATAGATACATAGTGATCCCAATGTACTTTGCTTCGTTAAAGTTACGAGGGAAGTTTCTCGTTAAGAACGCGTAACAGGTGGCGATCAGCATTAATAGGATATTATAACACAAATTAATGGCCACGCTGACATTTTTCATGGAACATTCCAGAATATTTCTATCGTCATATTGATATGACATGGAAGCCCGTGGGGGRTCGGTAAAGAACCAAAATGACGTCACTAGAATTTGAATAGCAAGCAGTCCACCGCACATGATCAYCTGYGACATGGGRCTTATAAGCGATGGACGTGAAACAGACTTCTGGGCAAACTTGAAAATCCGGTAAATCCGGTTTGTTCGTAGTAGAACTGGTGCAAAAATAGCTGTCAAGGAAACGCTTCCCAAGAAGCGCCTCGCACCGCAGATRAAGTCAGTTGGTTTGAGTAGGTACATCAAGGCTGAAAAATAGCAAAAGAAAACACCMGAAAACAAAAACACACAGAGTTCCTTTCCACTGGCCTTAATGACGCGATCGTTTCTATACTTGATGAAATACCAAGCAGTTACAGWGGTTGCTAWTAGCCCTATCAAAGCTATTATTACCAWGATAATYTGTGCTGGGGCATCGGTACTTAGCCTTGAATAAACCAATAGCAGATCRTAACATGCASTCAAGTTGGTATTCGGTCGACTTCCAGGTGAGCAWKTKCGACATGTATTATTCATAATAAAAGACGTTGTACCGCATTTTTCGCAGTGCCAGCAACATTCTGGGTTGGTGACTGCAGGTTTGTAGATTTGCTTAATGGTACATGGTCGGCTGCAGTAGGAGTTTGGGGTAGTGCTTTGCCAAGTTGGTGGCCATTTTATGAGGGTTTTATTAATTTGAACGCCACCCTTGACAGAGTTGTCATCCTGCAGTTTCCCTGACCATGAACCAACTTTAAAGTAAGTGTATTTGCCATTGAATTTCCTGAAGTTAAGAACGTCATACCTGCCATCTACTTCGCCATTGCGATTGAATTKGATGGTTTCATTAGAAGTTGAATCGGGAAAACTAACATTTCGTAGATATTTCAAGAACTCTTCTCTCTTTAGATTGCGCATTGCATCACACATTCCTGTTTTGCCGYGACAAAGGGCTTTGTGCATGTCATTTAGAGCRTAGACCGCTGCATAAACGGCGTTCATTGACACTCTCACGGGCGCAATGCCAAAATCTGGTGAAAGATTCTCRTTTTCRTTACAACTTTTCGTAAAATTAAGCTCAATTGTGGCWCCTTTGATTTTGCATTTCTTGGTYAATTGCCAGAACTCATGGAACCATGTTTCATTGAGACTTTTATAGTTGAGAYCGAGAAAATAATCTTTGAATTTCACCACCTTYCCCTCGATGTAGTTGAGCGTCAGAGCACCCTCCCCACCCTCCTCGTTACCATTAGTCACCGGCTGTCTAGCTCCCCAGGAGTTGCTAGCCACCCAAACAAACCGAGTGYTTKTTCCTTTTAAGATTTTCTTGGCAGCAGCCACCAGACCCGTGTTATCTCTTTGAATACAAAACATGACCACAACATTCAGTTCAGACTTCGTATTCCTTTTACTTATTTCCAGCAATTCACGTATCGTATCTTCRTAGTCCTTGGTACTTGGAAAAGAAGGTAGTCGTTTCCTGGACGCAATACATAGTCCTTTCCTCTTGGCATCGCTGTACACTTCATCCATRCCTGGTTCTCCATACAACCCYGGAGAGTACACGGTCATGACGTAGTTCCATCCGAAATACCGAACAACATCGACAAGTGCCCGACCTTGAAACGAATTMGGGGGAACCGTTCGAAAAAAATAGCTATAGATGTCTTTATCACTCAGTTTTACAACAGTCGCTCCAAAGCTGACTTGTGGGATATCAAACACTCTTAGCAAGTTGGCAACAGCTATTGCTACGTCACTCCTGAACGGACCAATCACACAAGCCAATGGGGGAGTACCTTGAGTTTGTTGAAGGGTGTATTTGATCAATTCCTTGGCGCCGTCAGCTCCAATAGTTTGACTTCGACAAGTATCATACGCCCGCAAGCCCAGTTTGATCCCTGGAAGTATGTTTGGRTCTTTGTTGATTTCTTTTATAGCGAAAAGGGCGGATGCAAAGTACTGGTAACCAGGATTTTGGTCCAGTCCTCCGCAACTGTTTTCGCTTTTGTTACCTCTTTTGTGGACGTTGAAAAGCCCTCCCAGTATAATGTCCCCGTCGAGAAATAGATGTCTATTATCTTGAGCAGCTGTTGAAACAAATGATATTCTTTAATTGTATAATGGCAGCATAACGACTTGGGATTTCTGTTTCCAGCAGTCCGAGAGGGATATGGTCTTCTTCTGGGGGGGGTTCGGACAATAACAACAAGGAAATCCTAATAAGTTGGTTAAAAAGTTTGTTTTTCAGGAAAATTTTTGTTTGAAAAAACGTTTGGACCCGATTTTTATCATTTTTATCCCATGATCCATAGCGCGGAGCTTCTTTGTTTGAGAGCTCTGATTGGCTAAAATTTACTTGTCAGCTTCAGTATATCGTATATCGACTATCACAATGAGTGTGTCACTTTCAAAGCTGCAAATTGCTGTAGTTCATCATCAATGAAAGTGTTTATCAATAACAAAACTGAGGAAGTTAATTTTTTCCATATTGCATTTTATTTTATTTATGGCTCGGCATTTCCCCTCTTCTTGAAGAAGAGCTCACTGAGACCCTTGGGCCTAGGCCCCCATTCTGCACGACGCACGTAACCTTACTTTGGATTAACCCGTCAATCCCCTGCAATACTTCATAACAGAAATGTTTTCTATGTTTTTTTGATATATTTTGCTCCTTTTAATTCTTCATTGAGACTTTAAAGAAAAATTTCCAATAAATTATGCATTATTTGGACAATACTTATTAATTGCGATGTCTCAGTAATTGATGTCTTGAAACTGCTAAAAATAGGATGATGTCAATCTCGTTTAGGAGGTTTTGTTTTGTTTTAAAAGGTGAAAGTCAAATAGGTAATTTGCTCGTATTTCGAGTACTGACACGAATTGACAAAGATTGACTTGTTACGTCGCGTTTCGCTTTAACTCATGTTAACTTCATCGGATCTGAARCAACAAATTATCCTTTGTCTGTCCATTATATAAGACTCTTAAATAAAAATTAACAAAATACGCATAGGCACCATTACCCTTTCACTGGAAATAATCGCGCTGTAAATTTGATGTAAAAACGGTGTAAATTTCATGTAAGTAATATTTCCATCATTTTGAACACTTACAGAATATTTCCATCAAATTTATAACCTTTTTACCTACATTCAAGCTTGATTAAAAAATATATGATAAAAATAACTGGGCGCTTTCCATTTGTCAGAACTGGCTGGCCAGACCCAGAGAAAATATCATTATATATCATTCATATTTGGTTAGGAAATTCAAATTTTCAAATTTTATCCATTATTCTATAGAAAACCTCGAAATGACTGAAAAATGTTGATAAAAAGCATTATATACCTCTAAATCGAGCGGATTAGCCGGCCAGTTCTGCCTAAATGGAAAGCACCCTAATAAGTGTCACGGACTCTTGATCGTCCTGACWAAATGGAAGTCGCTTATGTTTGACAGATGTGTATTCACTAAGTGCAGCGTACTTCAAAACTGCACTCACCAGTCATGCAACATCACGGTTTGTAATAACAAAGTATGAGCATTTTAGAATGACAACKAAGTATGTGAGCCGATGAACTGAGTGATAAAACGAATAGTCGATCGTCGAATAACTAAATCGTTTTAACGATTACAAGCTCTCTAAAACWATAACAGGGATCAATGTAATTACTTTATCTTTCAACTTACCATCCCCGCTTCCTACTTTACAAATAATCCACGAAAATAAAGCGAAGATGATCGAGAAGTTCATTCTTGCTTGATMKGATACCCCCAGGGAGCTTGAACAGTTTAACTTCCGCAATCGACCCAGGTCACCCTATGTATAATCAACATACAAAAACGTCAGCAGTCACATTGTTCTAGTAAYTCATAATCTAAAGCTAAATAAAACTCAGGTTGATGTGTAAACTTTGGTCTTCAGCCACCGCTTTGAGGGGACTTTTTGAATGCCTTATATTTACGTGTAGAGGACATCATTAATGTAGCATTCATTTGACGCTGTAGAAATTTAATTTAGAAAATTGAATGCCGAGGCAATTAGGTAATCAATTTTGAATTTGTTTTCATTTGCCTGAGGAACTAAGAATTTCCTGTCTTAGGTTCCAGTCGAATTCAGTTGGAAAGTGAAAAAACGTCAAATGCAATACAACACAATAAATTAGGATCCAAACAAAAGGACTGAATTACGTGGGTTCAAAGATCATTAAGTGAACTGGAAAAAAGCCCTGATTAGAAATTGCATTGAAAATGGAATATAAATTGAAATAACAGTAAGACAAATAGAATAAAGTGAATATGAAGGACAAAATTAGAAATGAAAAAAAAATTAACCTTAAAGAAAAATAAAGTGAAAGAATCAAAGTGAGTACAAATAGTTTCTTAAAACTCAAGAAAAGCTGGTTGAAATGGGTTCCCATTATAGGAGGCTGCCATACCTCTAATCCGCATAATAAGTGCATTATTAAAACGTAATGATATCTTGACAACTCTAATCTTCCACAAAAATGACAGCAATACCAAAAACTGACCTCTAAAAATCAGCAGAAATCGTCAAACTGCCAACCTATAATAGGTCTAATCTATGTTGACCCAAAACGAGATTTGAGTAACACTTGGTRTGACTTATAATTCATACATCGATCCAAGTAGAGTCGTATTGTCTGATTGTATTTATGTATTCGATGATTCAGCGTCGAGGTCGTGCAGCACCGGGCCTATTACGAACGAAGTGGAGAGAAATCTTTAAAACTTCTGTACAAGTGGATTTGAAAAAAAAAGTAAAAGGAAACAAAGCACGAAATGCGAGGGGAAAGCTGGCAAGAATATAGCTTAAAWAGGTAATGATGAATTGGACGAAACTCATAGGAAATAAATTGATGAAACTCAAGGCTGGTAATTAAAGTACATATGCATTATACTGAGTGAAAACGTGAAATAGGAAACTGAATTGGAAACTGAAATTGAATAAAATTAATGTATAAAGCACAAAGAAATCGAAATTAAAAAATCTCTAGACATACTAAAAACCGAAACATAAAACCACTAACAAGCTAAGAAAACTAGGGCATTAAAGGAAAGAGCCTGCAATTCCCAATCGTAGTGGAACATAACAATTGAAACTCGTACAATATCTGTACTTCTAATTATAAAAGGAAATGAAGATGACAAAATTAAAAGTGTTTTCCGAGTCTTGTTATCAAACGATATTCATCATCATACATAGCAAACATTCATTTATGGATATTCGCAGTTTTATTTTCATAATTTTTTTGTGATAAAACATTTTCAATTTCGCATCTGAAGAATATATAAGGAGTARTCAATTCAGAGCTTTATTGAGTCTCTCTATATTAGAAGATGTAGGCAAAAAATATTGCAGTAAGCAACTCTTTTAAAGTTGCATGTCTGAAAGCATTTATGTAGTGCCAATAAATCAGGATATTTATAACTTACAGCAAGTACCCGCAGTGTCCAGGGTCCGTACTGTAGCGAGTGTAGTATATCTCACTGGAGCCATGGTAACCGCCAGTAAATGTTGTCGTGTGATTTTTGCCAGATTACAAACAGATAACAAAAAGAACGTTTTTGTTTGAATTACGATGAATTATTTTTTTCAAATATAAACAAAAGCTCATGATGAGGGACCATGGATCCTTACTGAATAAATTCTTCAAATTGAGTAATCTCTTCATGACATACTGCTGTTTAAAAACAGGTTTAAATGGCTGAAAACTTACTATAACCCGAAGTCATATGCAAACAAGGAACTGTCAGGTTGACAGTAATTACCGGCTGTCTTATTTCTTCTTGTCTCTTTCTTGGCTTTGCTTTTACTTAGCATTGAAATTCAGTAAGGAAGAATTTCTTTTTTTAGTGTCTTAATTTTGTTTTTAAGTCAAGTTTATGTACTAATAAAGCTAWCTCATTTTTGGCAAATTTCCTCGTGTCGGGCCGATCGGCTCCATAGWTTTTATAGGGATTTTATTCGCCGGGTGAGGTGCCGATAGCCCTATAGTCAGCTCTCGCCTTACTTGCCGGGACACCCCGATATTTGGCGGAGATACTGAGTCTCCKTTCTGAAAATACAAAGAATCAATAGTAAAAGTACAGCCGTGGTCTATGGCCCTGCCTTCTTGTTAGCTAGGTTTGTCATTAGTTTTCTTAGCAGGCTTGTTCCTGGCAAATATCACACGTTTTAGTGAAGGGAATATAAAAACTCACTTTTCCGGTAACTGTGGTTGCGAAGGATGCATGCTGCGGTAAGTCGAAGAACTGGTCATTTCCGTGAGTTTTCTGTTTTACTGGCAATTACCAGCGGTTATATTATCCTTTACTCACTGCACAGCAATCATGTCAGATATTAATACTACCTATTTCACAGTTATATAAATAAAAGTCACATTTGAGTACATGTAAAAATGACGCGCCATCTTTGTGACGYCCATTATATAATCATTACATCAGCTTGTATTTCTAAAACTACAACAACAACAAAAACACTTGTATGGACACGTATGTGATACCCATCATGAACACTGGGCGAATTGATCATTYATTTCATATTAGTTCAATGAACTGCAATAGCAAAGCCTTTTAGAAGGAGATTGCCCTTTCAAGCTCTTTACGCAAATGTTCTGTAATTACCAGATTACAATTTTTAAACCTAATATGATCAGATGATATATACGATTTTATTGCATAYTGAAAAACAAATGTAAGACTAAACAGTTCGTCTTACAAAGTCTTATTGAAAAWGTTTTAGCTAAATAAGTGAAATAAAATGTCTTTTGGAAGTTTTGTTTCTCCCAGTTTTTTTTTTTTTTTTTGCTTGTATTGACACCGCGACTTGTGATAATTTTTGTCTTGATGTCAGAAGAAACCGTGTTATGCCAATGTCAATATCTTTTAACAGTTAAAGTTGATAACGAAACGTGACCTGTCATTTCAACTATAGATTTTGGTTCTTACTATTTTGGTTAAATGTTGTTCGGATTAAGATTTCACTTTTGTGCGAAGTAGACTTCTGCTTTTTGTTTTAGGAAAACGTGGGGAAAAATGATTTCGCTGAGAAATGACAAGATTTTCGCTGTGCACTTCTCCTGTATTATAGATTTTTTCTAAAAAATCAAACATTTCGTTTGTYTCACAATTTTTAAACAAGTCTGACTGTTATTTACGGTTTTACATAGTTTTTTTATATCTGCTCATCTTACAGTAGTGTTGATGATATTGTCACAATAGAAAAAACAATCAACTATCGTTACACTTACACTTATCTGCTATACTGGGTTTTTAAATGGTGATTTCGAAATTGATAATTCTAGTGCCAGCTTAAAGTGCATGTTTTCATTTTCATCCTGTAATGAGATTTTGAACGGTCGATTTTACATGTAACAAGAAAACTAATTAAGATTGAGTAAATTAACTAAGGAATATTGTATATTTTACGCCATTACAGCTGTTTTGGTGTAATGTTTTGTGTTGCTAGAAAGAACGCGCACTGGATGCTACTTTGCTTGGTTAATATTCTCAAATTTATTACAGCTACTTCTGCACGTCTCCAGGGATTTCTGTATACGCTCTTCAGAAATAAGTACAGTACAATCTGTCTTCAGATACGTGCTGGGTATCCGAATATTGTTTGATGACATCATAGCAAGTAATGCCCCATAAATACATTGACTTATCCTTTAACATATCCGGGTTCGTATCGGACTTTGGACCGCGTTTGTACATGATTTTTATATACTYATGCGTGAASKCAGGTATTTTGGACATTTTGTTTCTGGACTCGTGAGCCGGGGYGTTTATCTATAGCTACGTCTTAGCGCGTATTGAAGGAGACATTCCAAAAAAAAATTTTTTTTATGTATAGAATTGGACGATCATACCCTAGTAGCTTCACGAGAGCCACGTTTTATTGGCGCTCTCTACCGCACAAACGCAAGAACGCAAAAGACGTCAAGCAATCAAACAGTACGAAACTCAGGACAATAAGCTAATAGCAGTATTGAGTATTACCAAGCTCACTTTTGATTTTCTATATGATTTTTACGCCATGTCTTGCTAGGAGGAGCATATGGAAATCGTTTCATAGAGGGTGACAAACGGAAACAGAAAAAAGTGAATAATACATGCAAGTTTTGATTGATATTCAGTCATTCGTCCATTCATATCTATTATCATAAGAACTTGCTCCAAAATATCTTTGTACGTCAGTCAGGGAATCGAAAGTTATCAAGATTTCATTCGAAACACATTGATAATGAAACAGTGGTTTCAGCAAATGAGAGTCCACTGTGCTCACTGAATAAAGCATTAACAATAAAAACAAGAGTACTATCCCACATCGAGTCTAGTACTATGTCTATCTTTACCTGGCAAGTGATGAACCCAGTGACGCAGAAGCTGAGATATGGATGTCAAATCGGATATCCTTTCAATGTTCCAGCAAAACAGCAGAATTAGACGCCGGACTTGTTTATGAATGAGAACGATGTCTTCAGTTCAAATGAAATCGTACAGTAGTCTTGTATAAGTTAATTTTAGTCAGTGGTATATGAAGTATAAACTGCGTGAAGAAGGGGAAGTTTCGGTTTTTGTTAGTCGTCCCTCAAGCTCACCAAACGACTCATCTCAACCCTGACAAGCAAACAAAAACGGTAACATTGACGGTAAATCGCGCTTGCCAAATTGCATATGTCAATGTAGACACCAAAAATCGCAAACAAATATATGTAAGCTAAGGGACATGTATTTTCTTGTCTCAAACACATTCAGCAACAAAAGGTCTGTTATCTCAAGTTATTTCATGTAGGATTAATTTTCTGTTTTCAATAAGGCATATTCCTTTCGGAAATCACGATCAATTTGTATTATACGTAATTATCGCCTTTTTTCTTGGATTTCATATATATTCTTGTTCAAATAAACTTTT